GAAGTGGAGGACCTGATGATAGATGTGGAGAGAGCTAATGCTCTGGCTGCTAACCTCGACAAGAAGCAAAGAAACTTTGACAAGGTCAGATATTTATTTGTGCCTTTAAACGTAAATGAAAAACATAGAATTGTGAATTACTGAAAAACATGGGTCTATTTGAATGTTTTCAGGTTCTTGCAGAGTGGAAGCAGAAGTATGAGGAAAGCCAGGCAGAGCTGGAGGGATCTCTAAAAGAAGCACGTTCTCTCAGCACAGAGATGTTCAAGCTGAAGAATTCATATGAAGAAGCGTTGGACCATCTGGAGTCCTTGAAGAGAGAGAACAAGAACCTGCAACGTAATTTAAAAAAAACAAAATACTCTAATAGGCAACTACTAAGAATCCTCGATAACAGCCTGATGTGCAGAGTTTTGCAGACTTCATAATTGGAGCTGTGTCATTTGCTTTGAAAATAATGAACGAGTGCGCCCCCTGGTGGGCAAATGGTTAAATTAGCACAATCTATGATTTTGTACTGACTACAAATGTAATACAATTTGGCAGCGTTTTCATTAATGTACAAGTGAATGGTATATTGAGTTTAAATGTCTGCCATCTAGACCAAACTGATATTTCAGCTCACATATATTTAACAACTGCTTTTACGAAATTTTTTACAGAGGAGATCTCTGACCTGACTGAGCAAATAGGTGAGAATGGAAAAACTCTTCATGAACTGGAGAAAGGGAAAAAGATTTTAGAGATTGAAAAGTCTGAACTCCAGACTTCACTTGAAGAGGCAGAGGTACTGTCTGACAACATATCTGTCATTTAAACACCATTTTAAATGATTTAGGAGATAGACAACATGTCTTTTTTGTTTTCAAGGCTACACTAGAGCATGAGGAATCCAAGATTCTCCGTGTTCAGCTTGAGCTTACCCAAATCAAGGGTGAAGTTGACAGAAAAATTGCAGAGAAAGACGAGGAGATTGACCAGATCAAGAGGAACAGCCAGAGAGTGATTGAGTCCATGCAGAGTAATTTGGATTCTGAAGTCAGGAGCAGGAATGATGCCCTGAGAATCAAGAAGAAGATGGAGGGAGACCTCAATGAGATGGAGATTCAGCTGAGCCACGCAAACCGCCAGGCATCTGAGGCCCAGAAACAGCTGAGAAACGTTCAGGGACAGCTAAAGGTATGGTGGTTCATTTAACAAAAATAATGTATTGTTTTACTTCTTTAAGAATGCATGGCACATGTTTTTTTAATGTATTATTCCTTAAAGGATTCACTACTGCACCTTGATGAGGCCTTAAGAGGTCAAGAAGACATGAAGGAGCAGGTTGCCATGGTGGAACGCAGGAACAACCTGATGGTGGCTGAGATCGAGGAGCTGAGAGCAGCACTGGAGCAGACGGAGAGGTGCCGCAAAGTGGCTGAACAGGAGCTGGTTGATGCCAGCGAGCGAGTGGGACTGCTGCAC